GGAGAGAGAGATTCACGTGAGGGATGAATTGAGGGAAGGAAGAGGGAATCATTCATTTTTTAATGACCACTCTTGTAACTTCCAAAATACTTGGTCAAAGGGAGAAATAAGAGGGATTGGAAGCTAGAATCAAGTGGATAATATTTTTCTTTTTTTAATTCAATTTCAAAATCAAACTCATGCATGCATGAGAGGGGGATTGACGGGCGGGTTTCGGTTTGGGGACTCGGGCGGGCGGTTCGAACTGGTGAGCTGGGCGTGCGAGCGGGCCGGGCTGGGAGAAAAAATGGACGGGTTTTTGACGGCCCAGTTCGATATTCCAACAAAGATACTCGTTAGGTTCGATGTCCCGGTTATTTAAAATTTTTGATTCGACCGAAAATGAAGTAATAATACTATTCGGCTCGCTATTAAAATTAATACAATTTGCAATTACGAGCATATAATCGAAATAAAATTATCGAGCCCGAATAATTAATTTAAAAAATAAAAATAAATGCAAAATAAGAACAATTGGGGCGCTACATCCACTAAGAAGTTCCTGAGCCAAACTGCCTCTTTCGTTGCCTCTGAGGCTACTATGTACTCGGCTTTCATGATGGAGTCTGCCACACATTTCTGCTTAGCAATCCTACATGAATGGCTCTACTTCCCAAGGTACACACATAACCTGAGCTTGACTTACTTTCGTCCTTGTCTGACTAGAAATCGGAATCACTGTAACCCAGAAGTAACAAGCTCTCTATAGAGTAAACTAACATGTACTCCTTAGTCCTTCTCAGGCACTTGAGTATATGTTTCACCATTGACGTAGCTAATATCTGGCAAAGTGCACAACATCACATACATAAGACTTCCTACAGCCGACGCGTAAGAACTGCCTTCATGTCCTCTATCACTTGAGTCGTCTTGGGAGACATCTCTTTGGATAGAGGTATTCCATGTCTGAAAGGTAACATACCCTTCTTGGAATCCTGCATGTTGAATCTAGCCAAGACAGTATCTATGTATGAAGACTGGGAGAAGCACATCATTCTCTTCTTACAGTTTCGAATAACCCTAATACCAAGAATGTGTCCTGCTTCACCTAAGTTCTTCATATCAAACTGCTTAGAAAACCACACTTTCACGTCTGATAACTCCTTCTAACTGTTTCCAATAAGCGGTATGTCATCTACGTAAAGCACAAGAAACACCACCACGCTCCCATTGATTTTCTTGTAAACATAGTGCTCATCCGGGCATTGAGTGAACCCGTACGTCTGGATCACCTCATCAAAACGAATGTTCTAAGATCTTGAAGCTTGCTTCAGTCCATAGATAGACCTATTAAGCTTACACACTAGATGCTCACGTTCCTTATCAATGAATCCTTTTGGTTGTCTGCATATAGATGTCATCCTGAAGGTTCCCGTTAAAGAAAGCCGTTTTGACATCCATCTCCCAGATCTCATAATCCAAATGAGTGGCTACAGCCAAGAGAATCCGAATGAACTTAAGCATAGCTACTGGCGAAAAGGTTTCATCATAACCAATACTCTCGATCTTGGTATAACCTTTCGCAACAATCCTATCTTTGAAGGTTTGCACTTTCCCATCTGATCCTCTCTTTCTCTTATAGATCAACTTACATCCAATGGGTCGTACCCTATCGGGTTGTTCTACAAGATCCCAGACCTGATTGGAGTTCATTGACCCCATTTCAGCTTTCATTGCAACATTCCATGAATCTGCATCTTTATCTTGAAGTGCCTCATCATAAGTTCTTGGTCCGATTCTAGGTCTCTTGGAACTGAGTGCAATGAATCTCTAAGACCTATCCATCGGTCGGGTAAATGATAAACCCTCCCACTACGACGAGGTACTGTCTGCACTAGTACACTCTCAGTGTGCCGTGCTACAATATTATGTGATGTATCTACTTGCGCACTTGTTGAGGAACTATCGACTTCACTCCTTAACTCCTCTAAGACTAGTCTACTTGCGGGCTTATGATTCATAACATAGTCTTCTTCCAAGAATCTAGTGTTCATCGAAATGATCACCTTCTGATCCTCAAAACTATAAAATAATTTACCTTTCGTTTCCTTGGGATAGCCAATGAAAACTTGTTCTTCTGAACATTTCTCCAACTTGCCAGGTTCCTGCACTAAAACGTGTACAGCGCTACCCCACACTTGAATATGTGAAAACCCGGGCTTCCGCCCTTTCCACAATTCTTAAGGAGTAGTTTCTACTGACTTCGATTGAACCAAGTTCAGAATATACGATGTTGTTTCCAGCGCCATTCCCCAAAACGAATCTGGCAACCTTGAATAACTCATCATCGACCTAACCATCTCCATAAGAGTCTTATTTCTTTGCTCAACCCCGTTCTGCTGGGGCGTGCCAAGTGCAGTCAATTGGGATTCAATCCCAGCTTCCGATAAGCATGTTCTGTACTCTCCAAAGAGGTATTCGCCACCTCGATCAGAATGAAGTGCCTTGATACTTTTACCATGAATCTTCTCCACAACTGCCCGATACTCCTTGAATTTCTCAAAGCATTCGGACTTACGGTGCAACAGGTAAACGTACCCAAATCTCGAGTAATCATCTATAAAAGAGACATAATACTTGAAACCACCTCTAGCCTGGATCGACATAGGACCACACAAATCAGAGCGAATCAACCATAGCACTTCTTGGCTCTTATAACCCTTTGCCGTATACGGGCTCTTGGCCATCTTACCTTCCAGGCACGATTCGCAAGTTGGATAGTGCTCTTCTAATGAACAGAGATGTCCACTAGCCACTAACTTTTGAATCCTCCTAAGGTAGATGTGCCCAAGTCTAAGGTGCCACAGATATGCTTGATTCATTTGCGAAGACTCCTTCCTCTTATTAGACTTAGTCATAACATTATTCAATTCATTTTGTTGCACTATGGGATAGTTTGGTTTGAGAACATACAAATTGCCAACTAACGAACCCGAACATATAAAATAATTTCCAAAACGAATAATAACCATGTCATCAAATGAAACTGAAAAACCATCCATAACGAGTTTAAAAACTGAAATAAGATTCTTTCTTAAACTAGGAACATAAAGGCAATTTCTCAGAACCAAACTACTACTATCAAACGATAAAGTAATGTCTCCCACTGCAACAGCCGCCACGTTCGTAGCATTGCCTATGTAGACGGTGATCTCTCCCTCTCTAATCCATCTGGTTTCCTGGAACCCCTGCAAAGAAATGCAGACATGATCAGTGGCTCCAGTATCTACACACCAGGTTCTGGTAGATACAACCGCTAAACATGTTTCTATGACATTAATGAGAGAGTTACCTTTCTTAAGGAGAGGGCAGTCGACCTTCCAGTTTCCCGACTGTTGCACTTGTGGCATCTTCCTTTCGGTTTCTTTGCCACAGCATGAGGGGCAGGTCATGGGGCAACCAGAGCATTCTGTGCCTTCGCCTTTCCTGCAGACTTCTTTCTCTTCCTGCCCTTGTGAGGCCTGGAAGGTCCAGCCTGCTCCGCGACTAGCACCTGAGAAGCCTGAGTTAATAAGGCTTCTGCCGACTGAAGCTCTGCTCAGTTCTGGAAAGGCCATATGCATCTTGTGCATGTTGTAGTTCAACCGGAACTGATCAAAGCTCTTCGACAGAGACTGGAACATAATATCAACCTGGGCTTTCCACGTCAATAAAACCTCCCATATCCTCAAGCTCATTGAGCTGTGCCATAACCCACTACAAGAAATCTGCCAAACAGTGACGAAAATTCATGTGACGAAACAAAAATTGTCACTGTATGTTGCCTTATGGTGACGAATTTCATAAATCGTCATTACACCATTGCATACAGCGACGAATCCTACATTCGTCATGTTAGAATTCTTTTTTCGTCACTTAATGGATTTTTTTATGATAATGTGCCTCAATTCGTCATTCATCTAAATTCGTCACACATATATATATATATATATATATATATATATATATAATGTGCGAAATTAAATGTGACAAACAAACTGTCGTCACTATTGCTGTTATTTAAAATGACGCTTACGACTAATTCGTCATTATATAATTATTTATTGTGACGATACATTATATTACATCTAAATTCTTCACATTAATATATATGATGGCGAAATTCACTACGACGAAACAAACTCGTTGTTTTTGTTCGTATTTGAAATGACGCATACAAAAAATTCGTCATTATATAATTTTCTTTTGTGACGATAAATTATAATACATCTAAATTCGTCACATTTATACATATTATACATATTATGACGAAATTCACTGTGAAGAATCAAAATTGTTGTGTTTTTATTGTATTTAAAATGAGGCATACGTATAATTCGTCATCATATAACTTTCTTTTGTGACGATATGTTATAATACATTTATATTTGTCACAATAATACTTATCTGATGAAATTCATAGTGCCGATAAAAATTGTTGTTTTTAATTGTATTAAAAATGACACTCACGTATAGTTCGTCATTATATAACTTTGCTTTGAAACAAACATACAGAAGGTGTAACTAAAGGTGTAACTTTACTCACGTATAATTCAAATTCACAGATATTGGCATCTTGTACCCCTTAATTTGTCTTTTCATATTATATAAAATAAAATTTATTTTAATTAAGTGTAACTAAAGGTGTGAATCAAAACAACATGATAATCTTGAATTCGAATTTTAATTTTGCAGGTCATCATCTTCATCGCCCCATTTAACATTTGTCACAAATCGTAACCTAAGTAGGTACGTAGTTATTTTTTTCTTTAACTGTTCAAAAAATATATAAATCACCCAAAAAAGAAAGAAAAAGAAACCACCATGGATAACAAAAAATGGAATGTAAGCAAGAAAAGCCACTATACTAAAAATCTGCAAATTTGCCTCCTTTCATTCAATAATCACTTTTTCACGATCTTTGGTCCGTTGTACGGTCCCTATGATCTTCCGGTTTTTCCCTCTCCTTGAGCCACACGTCTTTAGAGGCCAAAACGCCACGCAATAAGTGAATACCATTCCAGCTTAAAAGAAGGAATAGAAACATGCATCAGAACATCAACATAACGATCTACATTTAACATAAAAAGAAGTACAAGTCAAAAATAACATTACCAAGACTTTGCGGGGACGATTGAAATCTAACCTATACACTGTCAATTACTTTTGCTAAAAGTTTATTACATCAAATAACTACTACATGTAAGGTATTGTTCATTTATTCGTAATTTTACCCTCAAGTAGAATTACCCAAGCAATCTGAACAAAATTCAACTTATAATCCACCAAATGAATTCAACCAGCAAAAAAATAAAAAAGAAAAAAAAGTAGGGGCTCTACTCTCAAAGTCAATACAGAACCAATTATCTTCAGAGAAGAAAACCTAGTGCAACAATTAATAGCTTCCCAGCATAACATAACTACATAACAACTAATCTATGAATCAAATAAAGTCAACCAAGCTGTTTAGAACAACAGGTGTAGTTAACAACTAATCTATGAATCAAATAAAGTCAACCAAGCTGTTTAGAACAACAGGTAAACACGCACAATACCAACAAACTTAAAGCCCATGGCTGACTAAAATAAAAGGAACAAAGTAAAACACAACAAACGATAAGTGATAATAGAATACAAGCAGATAGATATACCGGCACTGCAAGACGTCGGAGGGTCCCTCTGCAAGTCCTTAAGCTCCTTTACTATCCTTTTATACGCCATCAATAATAAGCACAGAAAACCTACAACCAGCCACACAGAAAAACCACATTTATCAACGAGCTCGACAATTGCAAAGATCCAAACCCGAAACATAAAATACCAAAGCAATTGCAGAGATCCATAACCAAAATCCACGGAGCTCGATTGCCCAAAAACACACCAACACGATCGATAAAAAGCATAAACTCACATAAAAATTAAACCCGAAAAGAAACACTTGTTACCTGATTCTTGCCATAAGCGAGGTCAACGACGAAAGAGATGTCAGAACAACAGAATACGCAGCCAATCACGAGAATCTGAGAAATGGATTGAGATAGGAAAAGGGGTTACTTATAATGGGTTAGATTCGAAGAGGATAAGTTCTAGAATTTTCGGTGCGCGGCTCATTTCTCGTGCAATCAACGCTATTTCTTATAAGCTTTTCGTGTAATTATTTGACCAAGTACTAGATTATTTTTCTCATTGACATGGTTTATCTGGTGCTTTTCTTTCTCTGTTTTAAACCCAAACAAGAAGCAGTATTCCTTTTGAATTACCCATCCAACAAAGTTGAAAGAAGAAAAAGAAAATAAAGAAAGAAAGAAAAAAAGAAGAAGAAGAAAGGCAAACTTGATTGAAAATTAGAGGGAAGGCAAGAAATTAAACAAGCACTGCAAACTTGAGAAGAATACTAGTACAGGAACAACCATTTGTTACCTTCTATTTATTCACCTGGCTGCTCTTGGACTTAAAACACTCGCAGCTCTCACCCCGAAATTTCGTGCCTACATAGAAATATTACGCATAATCAAAAGACAAGCAACAGATAAAGCACATGCTAATACATAAAAATATAGGAATACAATATTAGAATGATCAATCATTAATCTCACAAGTCACAACCATACCAGTCAATGTCGCCATCACTATCAGAAGTGTTGCTTGTTTCAGAATCTTCTACACTACTACAATAGTCGACCAATGTGTCATCAGGCTCATCTTCTTCAATGACATCATCTATGTTTATGAGCTCCGCAACATCCGAGAGTGTTTCTATCATTGATTCCTCAATATCTTGAGAATCCACGTCATTCCTACCTAGTGATTCTAATTCATCAAGACTAACTTCAAGTGCATTATTTGATTTATTCTCTTGGTATACCCCATCTTCCAAAGAAAACAACTCATTATGGCGTATTTCATCATCTGACATCTCATCAACATCATAGACATGCCTATGCTGGAATGGTTGCACTACTCGTTAGCCACTTCCTAATTTAGGATCACTAATGTAGAAAACTTGTCTAGCTTGGTTAGCTAATATGTAAGGGTCGTTCTCATACCATCTTTTGGTAATCCGAACACTCACAATATTGCCCTCTTTTTGTAACCCTATTTGTTTTTTGCCCCCAAGATCAAACCACTCACATTTGAATATGCTAATATGCCTATCTTTCACATAGTCAAGCTGAATTATACCGGATACAACACCATAAAATTCAATTGTATCTTCACCGTGGTTACCCTCCACAGAGATACCGCTATTTTGGGAATTACGCCGACTATCACGGTCTTTCGTTAGAAATCTTACTCCATTGACAATACATCCAGCCTACTTTCTTACACATTTGCTTGGGGCACATGCAAGTGAATACAAAGATTCATTTGCTTCGTTTGGATTCTCATGATACGAATGGTGATATAGGATATTATACTAGACCGGGTTTAATGGATAAAAGGGGAATATATTGAAGAATAAACCTACAAATGGCTAGGACACGTGGCATGATGCTATTTGACAAGCCCAACTTGGGACATAAGGTACACTCCCCCTATAAAAGGGGGCCAAGGTATCCCATTCTCTCACTCTCTCTACATTCATAATTATACTCTTCGGATTTGGAGTGATTCTGACTTGAGCATCGAAGGCCCGACGCCGGGACCCCTCCCCGCGTTGGGTTCTTGCAAGTTCGGTGGCCGTCCGAGTTGAAGGAGCCCGAGTGAAATCTTATCACTTCATTGGCGCCGTCTGCGGGACCCGTTCAAAAAGCCAAACGGAGTTTCGATCGAAAAAATTCAAAAATTTTCCAGCAAACTCCTTCTCGACTGGTCGCCGCCACCACCGCCGACCAAAGTGCTCTGATCGGAAAGTTTCTTACGTCATCGGGTATATCTCCCCGAGGTGAACCTCCTCTTAAAATTTCACGGAAAAATTCATCCGGAAAGGCCTTCAATTTGACAGGTCAAAATTTCTGGATCTAAGGAATTTTGGTCAACTTCCGACCTTCAAACCCATTTGTCCTGCGATCCGTGAGGGCTATCAAAAATTCGGGAGCACCACCGGAATCCTCTCGGCGAGACGAATCTTCAGCTACCGACCTTTGTTGGACGTCGCCGCCAACCGCCGTCCAAAGTTGTCCGATCTGAAAAATCCTTACATCATCGCGAAGCTTTTCTCGTCCTCGTTCTACCCTTAAATTTACAAGCGAAAATTCCATCGGGAAAGCCATAGATTCGCCGGTAAAAATTTTTGGATCTAAGAAAATTTTGGTCAACTCCGGTCATCTTCTCATTTTCTGGCGATTTCAGAGGAATCACATCAAACCGAAGGTACCATCGGAATGTACACGTCGAGACGCACGCAAGGCCGATAACTCTCGCCGGATATGACGAGCCTCAGCCGGCGACTTTTTCTTTCTGGCAAGCCTCAGCCGTGGTGCTCGCAGCTCAGCACAGTCCGTCCTCAATCCTTGACCCAACGAGGAAATAGCCCAGGTGAGCGGCCCGTATCCAACGCAAAGCCCAACACGTGATCGAATTTAGTGGCAGCCCAGCGAGAAGGTGTCCATCCCAGCAGCCCAGAAGAAGAGGCCCAGTTGTGAGGCCCAATTCGCCAGCGATGCCCAACAGGAGGAGAGCAAAAGTCACGCGGGCCGCTTCTGGCCCACAAAGCCCGAATCTCTTCAGCATTCAGCCCGCGCGCGGCCTGGACAACCCTGCAGCCCTTAGCCAATTTCCAGCGCGCCTTTGCGGCCCGACTCCAAGTATCCGCGGCCCAGTCAGCGTCTCCGGCCCATTAGAGCCCTAAATGCGGCCCAACAGCCTATAAATGGCCCAGAATGGCACCAACTTGATCTAACAGCCCCATTTTTGCTCAAGACTAATTCAGGATGATTCGACGTGGGCAGTGAAGTAATTTGAAATCATATTCTCGTGACGGAGGTATGTGATTAATCTAAAATTGAAGACTCGAGGATTTATGTTTGATTCATTCGTGGAGAATATGCAATATATTTGTGTAACATTATTGGACTTATGCGTGAAGCTTATATGATATATTCGTGGAGATTATTTGATATATTTGTGGAGTTTATTTGATTTATTCGTGGAGAATATATTCGATCTATTCGGGCAAAATTATTTGATTTATCCGTGGAGCCTATTTGATTTATTGGTGGACTATTATTGTATTTATTTGTGGAGCATTATTTGATTTGGTTAAAGAGATATTATTGGAGTATTCGTGGAGAATTATGTGATTTATTCCTGGAGATATTCCATTTGTTCGTGGTGATATTTGATTTGATCGTGGAATTATTTGATTGGCTCGAGGAGATACTGTTTGACTTAATTGTGGAGATATTATTTGATTTATCCGCGGAAAACATATTTGATTGAAAATAAATGCAAGTCGTGATTTCGAATCGAGGATATTTTGTGGTGGTGCTTACCGTATGTTTGGTGCATTTATCGATGGGCTCGAGGAATGGATTAAAATTATACGACTTGATATTTGATTTACTCGGAGTCTCTCATTTGGATTTTCATGTGAAAATGTGGAATTTTTTTCGAATTGATTATTCATAATTTTTAATCATTTCATTGCTCGAGAATGTCATAAATCGAGGGGATGGTGATGTGTGTATTTGATCTCTTTTTTTTCTTGCGTGCAGAATTGCAAAATGGATAAAACGCGAATATAATGTGGATAATGATATCTCTTTGAATTCTTGTCGAGGAAACAACAAAATAACTCAAGTCTCGACAAGCTATGGCGGACGAGTTGTGGAGTTTCGAGGATAAAATGAGCGAGCATGGATCCATCAAAGAAGGGTGATAATGAGGGACGAGTCTGGATGGTGCCGATCACAGATGGCAATTTCAAAGGCAGAAATCATTCTCTTTTGGAGAGGTAGGATAATTGGGAGGGGCATGCTCGACTTTCAGGTTTAAAATTAATCCCAACTCTTGTGAGTGGTCAAGTTCGACCGACTCAATATATTGAAACATTGAGTCTCTTAGCATTATTTTTTGGAGTAATATTCATTGATTGAATATTTTGGGCGAAATATTGCTGAGATTGTGGTGTATATGTGTATGTTTGGAGTTATTATTCAAGTGACTAACAAGATACAGAAAATGAGGTGTACGTGGAGCCTTGAGCATGAATCTAGCATGACTAAGGCCTTCGGGCTGGCCAGTCTCGGGTCGTCATGACAAAGGAGCTCGGTATTGGGAGTAGCTCATTCGAATTTTTGTTTGGTGCATTCGTTTAATGATTGTTTGTAGTTGCAGAGTATGATTTATTGTAATTGTTTGTTGAATTCATGGCTTTGTGAAATTCTGGTCGACTGTACATTTGAGTGGGTTTATATGCAATTTCATATCATGGTAGAGACTTGCATGTAGATTGAGGTGTGATATAAAGCATATGGACCAATATGATTGTTTTGATTTATTCATCTCTTGTTAATATCGCTATCGGGATTGCAAACTAAATAATGTGGATAAAACACGACTAATGGAACTTGTTGAATGCTTGCGGAGGAAAATGCATGAGCAGGTGGACTGGATATTGGTTATGGTGAGGAGTGGAAAGCATGGAGCAAACAACTCAGGTCGTCGTGTACAGACAGGAAAGGGAGGTCGAAAATTATGCTTGATTTTTTTATCTTGTTCAATATAACTATGCATTTGATGGGACTAACGAAAATGATCAATTACTATTATATCTCGTGGTGTTTGGTGTGTTTTCTTGTCGACCTCAGTGGCAGGTCGAAGTGTTCGAGCAGGTCGAAGAAAAAAATCCACCACAACTAAGGCCTCCGGGCTAGGTGGTCACATGTATCGACCACTCCTTTGAGGGTGGACATGTGCTCGAAGACAAAAATCCACCATGACTAAGGCCTCCGGGCTGGGTGATCACATGTAACGACCACTACTTTGAGGGTGGGCATGTGCTCGAAGATAAAAATCCACCATGACTAAGGCCTCCGGGCTTGGTGGTCACATGTAACGACCACTCCTTTGAGGGTGGGCATGTGTTCGAAGACAAAAATCCATCATGACTAAGGCCTCCGGGCTGGATGGTCGCATGTATCGACCACTCCTTTGAGGGTGGACATGTGCTCGAAGACAAAAATCCATCACGACTAAGGCCTCCGGGCTGGGTGGTCACATGTATCGACCACTCCTTTGAGGGTGGACATGTGTCGAAGACAAAAATCCACCATGACTAAGGCCTCCGGGCTGGGTGGTCGCATGTAACAACCACTCCTTTGAGAGTGGACATGTGCTCGAAGACAAAAATCAACCACGACTAAGGCCTCCGGGTTGGGTGGTCACATGTATCGACCACTCATTTGAGGGTGGACATGTGCTCGAAGACAAAAATCCACCACGACTAAGGCTTCCGGGCTGGGTGGTCACATGTATCGACCACTACTCTGAGGGTGGACATGTGCTCGAAGACAAAAATCAACCCTTGTAACGCCCCGTTTTAGTTTAAAGAATTTATCAAATTTATTTATAAAAATCAGAGTTTATTTTTCGCAAAAATCCAATTTAAAATTTTAACATTGAACGGGCGCTACTTAAACAACCAAGACAAATAAACATTTACACAGATAAAATCTAATAGTTCA